ACAGACCAGACCGTGAAGGGAGTGTGTGGGGTTTCTAACAATGCTTCGAGTGCTAAGCACATAGCGCTTATAAGCAGCATCCTGAATAACGGGAAGGGAGCTTCCTGTAATTTTCTCTGCTGTCCTCGCCACTCTCTGTAGGGACTTTCTATCTGAGGTGCTGGTGCCATTAAACCAAACATAATGCAATCGTGCCTCTGTAAAAATTGGCCAGGATAGAAGGAGAAAGATGTGCTCCCCTCATCCAACACAGGATGGGAAGATTTCCTGTTTTTCAAATAACAGAAAATTGCACAAGTGATCATTAATATCTCTTAATATGACTTATGGTGTCAAAGCCCCCAGTACATATTTCCAACCTAAGCCAAGGACAAAGGTTTGCAATCCTGTATAATTTTTAGCAGAAAAATATACTGCATAAATGTTCTGATCTTTAAAAGTTCAGACTGCAAACACAAAATGGCTTCAGTTCAGCTCTTTATATTCTCAGGTGTATGGGCCAAATTTCCATATATAACAGGTAAGGTGAGCAAATTAGGAAGTGTAGTGTTTTAACAACATTATATGTTCTAGAAAAATATTAAATTATTCTTCCATTGGGATTCTGGAGTATGAAGCATCCCTAAATTACAAACAAACCCTCCACCTTTTAAACTATTTTAATTTTTAAGCTAATGATAGTTCAATTACTAGAAAACTGCTGTCAGTTGCTGCAGACTGTTAGATGTTAAATGAGCTCAAGTTGTTGGTTGGGTTTCTTTCTTTTTTTGCTGCTTCTATTAATAATTTTGGTTATTAATACATTTGCAAACGTGTTGTGGCACGAAGGGAAGATTTGTCGGAAAATTTCAGAACGCTGGCTTGGGTGGAAGCACTGAACTGAAGCGGGTTGAAAGGAAACAGATGTTTTCTAAACGTGGAATCTTTCTCAGGATTAGAAATGGAGAAGGTTGCGCATGGCTATATTTAGAGGTGCCACATCGGTCTAATTTGGGGTGCACGCCATTTATACTTTTGTATCTTCTGAAGCTCATTTCCATGTTCCGATTTTAATCTGCATTAAAGGCCAAGCAAGGAATGGGTATCCAGACGCCTGTTTGTATCAAGCTGTGCAATTTAGAATGTTTATTATCCGGCGCATCCATTTGCTCGACATATGCGACTACACAGAGATAGGAGTGGTGCGGTGTCCTGGAAGTGGAGCTCTCGCCTCACAATCAGGAGGCTGTGAGTTCGATGCTAGGTAGAGGCAGATATTTCTCTCTCTGGGCACAATGAGAATATACCTGCTGAACAAAACTCCATACTGGTGACAGAAAGAGCATCCGGCCATTAAACACTCCGCTCCATTCAGTTAGCTAAGACTCCACCCGGCAAGTGATTATGCAGTTGTTAAATGAAGATGATGGTGTGACTAAACATAGATTGCATCAGGAAAAAAACACGAAGGATGATGGATAGGATCCTCGTGTTCAATTTGGTGTTTATCTCAGAAGGACGGAATGATTCCTATGGATAGTCCTCTCCTTATCGCCATTCATTTAATGACCATTCCAAGTTACAACGCTGCTGGAAAAAATGACTTAAGGCCATTTTTCACACTTACGATGCTTGCAGCATCCCCCACAGTCACGTGATCAAAATTCGGACGCTTGGCAACTGATTCATATTTGCGACGGCTTGCGGTGTTCCAGGGGGCCATGTGATCCGCTTTTGTGACCTTCTGACAAGCAACGGGGAAGCCAGATTCACCTAACCACCACCTTAACTACAGTGATTCACTTAACAAACAGGGCAAGAAAACGGGGCAAAACTCACTTGACAAATGTCTCGCTCAGCAACATGACGTTTGGCTCAATTGTGATCCTATGTTGAGGACTACCTGGGCTGCAGCTGACAACGCAGGCTGGGTGTTTGCGATATTTAAAGCCTCATGCGAAACACTCTAATTTTGGAAGCCTGTTCTAATCTTAGGACAGTTCTGTCACAATCCTTCGGCACGCCAATCATTTCTTGTGAAGCGCCTTCCATTTCTCTTTTCTGACGCTTCACTATTGTTCTGCCATAGGAAAGGGATCCAGAATTTTCCAGCGCTAAATGGGGTCAAGTTGGAGGGAAGACTGAAAAAGCTGCCTCTCCAACTAAACCCTGGCTATAGCTGTCAACCGACATAAGGCTTATTTAATTTAATGGTTCGCCACATGGAGGATAACTGGGCCACATAGATGGGTGAGCTGAATCGCAACTCATCCAGCTGTTTGATTCTTGAGTAATTATACCTGTTTCTCTCACGGGAGGTGCCATTTGCGAAAGCCTTCCAGATTTTCCGTTGACGTGACTTCCATTTCTCACTGGAACAGTTTGATCTATGGCGCCATGAAAAATTCCATCACTCCTTCAAAAGCCGTGTTGTGTTATGGGGTTTTTCTACATTGTCAGAGGTCGCATGGCTTAGTCTTTACCTAGCACCAGTTTGAATCTGGGTCTTTTAAAGATGAGACAGGTTTACGTTTCCTGGCAGTTAAAAGAAAGCTTTTGTGTCAAGTTCCAGAAAGAAAAAAAAGAAGGGAGGGAGGGAAAGGGAAGGAAAGGAAAGGAGGAGGAGAGATGGGAGAGGAGGGGAAAGAAAAGAAAGGAGGAAGGGAAGGGAAAATAGGAAAGGAAAGGAAGGAGGGAAGAGAAGGAAAGGAAGAAGGAAAGGAAAGGGAAGGAAAGGGAAGGAAGAAGGAAAGGAAAGGAAAGGGAAGGGAAGGGAAGGGAAGGGAAGGGAAGGGAAGGAAGAAGAAAGGGAAGGAAGGAAAGGAAGAAGGGAAGGGGAAAGGAAAGGAAGAAGGAAAGGAAAGGAAGAAGAAAGGGAAGGAAGGAAAGAAAGAAGGTAAGGGGAAAGGAAAGGAAGAAGGGAAGGGAAGGGAAGGAAGAAGAAAGGGAAGGAAGGAAAGGAAGAAGGGAAGGGGAAAGGAAAGGAAGAAGGAAAGGGAAGGAAGAAAGGAAGGGAAGGAAGAAAGGAAGGGAAGAAAAGGAAAGTTCTTTTAAGTACATGTCTTTCTTATTCTGCACCTATAGACAGATTCTTGCCAAACCAAAGCAGCTTACTACCTATGTGAAGCCCTTTGGGGGGGATTATTAGGGAGGAGCCAACTTCACCCTCTTTCTCTCACACAATCTATCTAAACTGAGTGGTCTCGTACTCAGCCTCTCCCTCCTGGGAATCCGGACCATATTCCATCACATTTGATCCTCGCTGTTCCCCATCTATCCTTCTCGCTGCAATCTACCACTTTTCTGTTTGTCTGTGGGGTTTAGCCTAATTTGCTGCCGTGCGTTCGAGAGGTTTCCATGGAACTGCACAGCGGTAATGGAAAAAAAAAAAGGAAGCTAACATTGAAGTGGCAGCTCAGGGCAGCATGGGTGACTTGAAACCATAAGACCCTGGAGGGGCACGAAGTTGGGAAAATCCCAACGGAGGCACTTACCGAATTTTTCAGACCCATCCTTGTAATCCCTAGGAAATACTCTTCCACCTTAACAATGGTCTTTCTGTTGGAAAACGCCTTTGACGCAAACCATATCAGCACAGTACAAAATTATCGTAGCTCTGCTTCTCTCTCTTTCATTTTTTTTAATGGTTTCCCCCTTTTTATATACTTTCTTGCAGCTGTCTTGTACCCCAAAGCTGCCTTCGCTTTTCTCTCCTTCACAATCAGTACCTCTCTGCATGTCTTCCACGGAATGGTTGGAGAGGGTTATTTTATTGATCCATTATTATTTTTTTGCTGTTTATTTCCTTAAGTGGAAAAAGGAAAAAACAAAACTAAAAACTAAAACATCCTTATCTGTGCCAAGGGAAAAAGAAATCAGCCAGCTTTCTTTAATCTCGCACTCAAGTTCCAGTAATAAGGCTGATAGATATGAAATCACTCACAGTGTCGGGGGAAAAAAAAACCCTTTAGGATGGTCTCCACAAATGCACTTGTAAAACATTCCTGTCTTGCTTTTAAGTTGCCATAAACAGGGAGAGGGTGGGAATCTGAAGGAGCAGTAGGCAGTTTAAAACCAGAAGTACATTCCGTGCTTATCTTACAAAGATTGTAGCTAGGTTACCAGATCTTCTCCACCCGTGAAAATCCTTCATTAGAGAACGTGATTTAATTAGGGAAATTGCCAGAAACCTGACAGGACTGTAGCAGATGCTAGACAGTCATCAGGGAAAAAGGACTATAACATCTTCTTCTCTATATATCAACCTTCATATCAGCATTCCAACTAACCAACTCCAACCCAATAAACTTCAAGTCAAGCGTTTCCTCAAAGTTGGGATAGAATGGAATGGAATGGAGTGGAGTGGAAGATAATATAGAATGGGATGGGATGGAGATCAGATAGGAATAAAATGGGATGGGATGGGATGGAATGGAAGATAATATAGAATAGAATGGAATGGACATTAGATAGGATTAAAATGGAACGGGATGAAAGATAAAATAGAACAGAACAGAACAGTATATAATTCTTTATTGGCCAAATGTGATTGTACACACAAGGAATTTTTCCTTTGATTGCATCAAGAATTTGGAGGTACCCCACAGAAATTAGAATTGTCTTCGGCTGCTTGGAAATAGGACACTTCTCTGCTTTTATTTGGAAATCATTTTTCTGAAGTCATGATTAAAATACATTGATTGTTTTAATTGATCTTGCTCCACTTAAGAAACCCTTTGCTAAGGTTATGCATAAGAAAATACATTGAAAGAGACTTCTAATTTGAATTGTTGTCAGGAAAGAACAGAGGAAGGCAGTTACTAAAGAGGGGAAATCGTTAAATAATGGAGTGAGTGGAAGAGAAAGAGGGAATTAATCTGACTTTGGCTTAATTGCATTAAGTATCAAGGCCAGAGATCGAGCCGAAGGAATTTGTGGAAGAATTTAAAGGAAATATAAAGGATGGTCATTGTTTTGCCTTTGAGTTGAGCTGGCTTGAATGTACCTTTTCTTTCTTCAAGGGAAGAAGCAATGTTGTCAACTTACTTTGAGACCATCAATGACCTACTCTCATCCTTTGGACCGGTTCGGGATTGTTCTCACAATAACGGAGGCTGTACCCGCAATTTCAAATGTGTATCAGACCGTCAAGTGGACTCAACTGGTTGTGTGGTAGGTACAACTTTTGACACCAGGGAAGGTGGATGCCTTGGATTGGGTTTGGAAAGTCTGGGGATGTAGACCTGTTCTTCATCTGCAGATCCTTGAAGGAGACATAATCTTCTCCTGGGATTATGCAATTGCACTCTGTCTGTCTGTCTGTCTGTCTCTCTCTCTCTCTTTTTCTTCTTCCTCCTCTTCCTCCTCCCCTCCTCCTCCTCTCTCTCTCTCTTTCTGTCTCTCTCTCTTTCTCTTTTTCAGCTTGTGCTTATTGTATCATTTTTGGGGAATCCAAGCCATGGTATTCAAAACCCATCTTCTCTTCTGATTCTACTGAAATGGCTGTTATGCTTCCAGGTTTATCTCCCTCTAAATATAAACCTTTGCTTTTCTTTTTTTTTCACACAGCATGTGAGGTCATTGTATTAATTTACTTGAGCGAAAACAAACGATTCATTTGGGATATCATATACCTTGCAGTATTTCATTCCTCCTCCTCCTCTTCCTTCCTTTCCATCTCCTCCTCCTTCTCCTCCTCTTCCTCCATCTCCTCCTCCTCCTCCTCCACCACCTGCACATAGATGCTAGCTGCCATACAACAAAAGCATTGATTATAAACAGCTGTTGTGCTGCACCAAAACAGTCAGCTTTATATCTATTTCCTCTTTTATATCTTTATCACCTGGCTATCTATTTGGCATCTTTTTTCAGACAAAAGCCACATGAACATGCTGACTTAAAGATGTGGCCAAAAAGGCTGCATTGGCAGTGAGCCATGCTGTAACAACAGTCTGCTAGTGTTAGAAGAAACCCAGATTTCCAAGCAGGAAATTTTTCAGGCAGGGGAGAACCATTGTTCACCTTCCAGATGTAGAACCTGCATCCTTTTGTAGTCTTTATGCCAAACATCTTTCATCATTGGCCACTCTGATTTGGGCTGAATCAACGAGGAAAGTGAGCACCGACAAGGACTTCACATCTTTTGATTAAATTCCAGACAATATGGACAAACTTGGCTGACCAGTAAGGAGAAGATCAGAGAAGGGAAGGGGAAAAAAAGACCATCATTAATGGCTAAACCCTTTTAGAGAAGATATTGCTATTCTAAAAGGCCTCATTTGGAAGCCGAAGGAAGGATCATTGTCAAATTGTAAATCGGGGGGCAGCTCTGATGCTAAATATCTATCATGGAAACCCAACTATTTGTTTATTTGCTTACATGCAAGTTGTCCTCAATTTAATAGATTAACAGAGTTGGAAGGGACCTTCTAGGTCACCTAGTCCAACCCCCCACCCAAGCAGGAGACCCTATACCATTTCTGACAGATGGCAGTCCAATCTCTTCTTGAAAGCTTCCAGGGATGAAACTTCAACAACTTCCAAAGGCAACTTCTGTTCCATGGGTTGATTATTCTCACGGTCAGGAAATTCCTCCTTATTTCTAGGTTTGATCTCTCCTTGACCAGTTTCCACCCATTATTCCTTGTCTGACCTTTGGGTGCCTTGGAGAATAGCTTGATCCCTTCCTCCTCTCTGTGGCAGCCCCTCTAGTATTGGAAGACTGCTGTCCTGTCTCCTCTGGTCCTTCTCTTCACTAGCCTAGCCATGCCCAGTTCCTTTAGCGACTGTTTGAAGTTAAAGTTTCAAACGTTGTAATTTTGAAATTACAATGCCATTGAACAAAGCCACTTATGACCATTTTTGTCACGTGATGGTTGGAGCATTCCCCATGGTCAGGTGATCAAAATTCTGGACACTACGCCACTGGTTCATATTTATGACGGTTGCAGCCAAGTCAACGGGGCAAGCCGGAGTCACTTAACAACCGTGTGACAAACTTAACAACTGCAACGATTCCCAGAATCACCACGGCAAGCAAAGTTGGAAAAGTTGGAGCACCATTTCACTTTGCAAGAGAAATTTTGGGCCCCGATCGCAGTCCTCTAAGTCGAGAACTACCTGCCTTTATTTTATCGAGCAGGAAGACAGGATGGCTCTTTGTGCATAAATAAAAAGAAAAGTTTGCCTGGATGCAACAACAACAACGGAAATATTTAATTACAGCCGGAGAGGATTTGTTCGTCTGTGGAATCATTCCTGTTCTCTGCACAGGAGTTAGCACTGGGAGTTGTTTAGAAAGAGTCTGGGTGTTTAAGCTTAGAAGAGAAACACATTTGAACATCTGTGCAAGGAATAGTAATGGAAGTTTCTTGCAAAGGGAAAGGAAAGGGGGAAGGTAAGACAGGGGGATAAGAAGGAGGGGTGGTGGAAGAGAAAGTTTATGCTGCTTACTGTGGTGAACTTGCTTTTTTCTTTTTGTTTTTTTGGTGAGAAAACAGGAAAAGTTTCAGTGTAAAAGCTGATAATGAGAGCACAGGGGACCAGATAAAACAATTCCCGGAGTGTTTCTTGCTGGAAATGTTATTTTGGGCCTCTTGGTTTGCATGCATGCCCTCTCTTCGACGTATGATTTCTCAAACGCTGCAGAAATATTTAAAACGGAGCAGAGTCTTCATGGCACATGCAAAGCAACCCTGCCCAGTGTCGAATCCAGTACAAGTCTTTTGGTGCTACAGTGAGCCTAGGGTTGAAGCTGGAGCAGAAATCCTTGAAGAGGAGAAGATGACCAACGTACAATCCGGTCATCGTCCTTAGGTGCTTCTCTTTTTCTTGTCTGAGAGGGTAACAGGTTCTCCTGCTGGAGCAGGGGGGTGGGCTAGAAGACCTCCAAGGTCCCTTCCAGTTTCTATTCTAATTCTAATTCTAGCCCAGCCCATCCTATCCTATCGTATCCCTTGTTCTATTCTATTCTATTCTATTCTATTCTATTCTATTCTATTCTATT